AGGCTAATCCCTGATCTTTCTTATTTCCCTTCACTGATCTACGTTCACTGCTAGCCACCAATCATTTCCTATATGGCACCCTCCATAACAACCATTATTCTGAGCCTGGCACTCTACACTTAGCACTATAAAAACTATTTTTTTCCTCTTCAATGGACACCGATGCTTCCCTTCCGTGGGTTTAAAAATGTATACGCACTTTAGGTCCTCACACGCCTATTTTCCACACACTGTCCCCTCTGGGACCCCAGATACACGCAAAATTGGTGGAGCTCAAACACACGTGACTTCCTGGTCGGCCACACCCACACACCCCCCAGCTACCAGCTACCATATCTACACGAAATATGACAAATTTAAAGCGCTCCAGAGTAATTATTATTAATATTACCATCGGCATACCTTGTTCACTAAGTTTAATATTTTCTAGCAACTACCCTTAGATGCCATCATAAATGAGAGAGAACAAGTAAATGAGGAGAGAGAAGCTGAAAATGTAAACAGACGAACACGTAAGGGGAGTCACTCGGTCAGATGAAATGTGTATTAATGCCTATTTACTTTTGGTTCATACTGGTACATTTGCATGAATAGTTGAGGCATTTACCTTAAATACAAACACTTACATTGTGTAAAAGTTGTCTTCATGTGAGTGCAGTAGAATAAATAAATAGCTATGAGTGAAGGCATCTTCTTCTTTCAATGTACCAGCCGTATCCCACTGAGGTGGGGTGGCCAAAAAGGAAAAACAAAAGTTTCTCCTTTTAAATTTAGTAATATATACAGGAGAAGGGGTTACTAGCCCCCTTGCTCCCGGCGTTTTAGTCGCCTCTTATGACACGCATGGCTTACGGAGGAAGAATTCTGTTCCACTTCCCCATGGAGATAAGAGGAAATAAACAAGAACAAGAACTATAAAGAAACAGAAGAAAACCCAGAGGGGTATGTATATATATGCTTGTACATGTATGTGTAGTGTGACCTAAGTAGAAGTAGCAAGACGTAACTGAAATCTTGCATGTTTATGAGACCAAAAAAAAAGACACCAGCAATTCTACCATCATGTAGAACAATTACAGGGAGTGAAGGCATACGAAAAGAATAATTTTCTACACTTACCTCAAGTAATACTAAAGTGTACACATTTCCTCTGGTGTTGGACTAGAGAAAACAGAATTCTTGCCATCACTCCAAAATGCCGCCCAGCTACCACATCTCATGTTTGTGAAATTTATTCTACTGTGGGTGTATGTATCATGTTTGTTATGTAATGTGCTTCTTATATAATTTTGAAAAAATACTAGAGATGGATTAATGAAAATGTCTATATTATTGTAATATACAACATTTAATGTGCCCCAGAGCAATTATTTTTTTTTTTTTTTTTTTTTCAACAAGTCGGTCGTCTCCCACCGAGGCAGGGTGACCCAAAAAAGAAAGAAAATCCCCAAAAAGAAAATACTTTCATCATCATTCAACACTTTCACCACACTCACACATTATCACTGCTTTTGCAGAGGTGCTCAGGATAGAATTAGCAATTATTATGTATTAGTATTATTATTTTCATTATTATTAATATGGTGTCAAGACTAGTGAGACACTCTTAGTGATTTTAATGTGTACCTGCATGCCAGCACAGTGTGCAAGTTTATTTAGGTACAGGTACACAAGCACAGCCTCTCCTCACTTAACGACATACTCGTTTACCGATGCCTTGGCTGATTTCCCCTATTCTGTTTATTACAATATACAGTACACTACTGTATAAATCTTTAAGAATATACCAGAAATGTTATAAATGGTGCAAAGGTGACATTAAGACAATATTAAAGATGGCTGACACAAACCCACTACCATTATAGTATGCTCCTCACTTAGACATGAATTCATTTACCAACGTATCCTTAGGAATGGAACTCTGTCATTAAGTGAGGAGAGGCTGTATAATTATCAGAGGTTATATAAAATATGCAATAACTTTAAAATGCTTGAAATTTTGGAAAGTTTCCAGACATAATGGAGAGATGAGGAGCTCACAGACATAATGGAGAGATAGGAGCTCACAGAGAATGTAAACAGTGGCGTGTCGGGGCCATATTAGCGAGTCAGGTGGGAGCTGTACAGTGGATCCTCAGCTAATGTTAAATCCAGCTAACGATACATTTTAACGCAAAAATTTTGCCTCAGCTAACGCTAAAAAACTCACCCAACGCGATTCGTTCGAGACGCGTCCATGTGTGGCCTGAGCGCGCCTCAGTTGTCCCGTGGGTGCCAGTGTTTACAAGCCAGCCATTGCAGTCGCATCCATGCATACAATTGGAACATTTCATATTATCACAGCGTTTTTAGTGATTGCACCTGCAAAATAAGTCACCATGGGCCCCAAGAAAGCTTCTAGTGCCAACCCTGTGATAAAAAGGGTGAGAATTAGTATGGAAATTAAGAAAGATTTTGAAGGGTTTGGGGATAACCCTGAGATGCCTATGCCAGTTGTGGAATCCATTGTGCCTACTTCAAAGATTAAGGAAATGTGTGCAAAGTGGGTTGAACTGCAAACCTTTATGGATGAAAATCACCCTAACACAGATATTGCAAGCCGTGCTGGTGACTATTACAATGACAATGTTGTGGCCCATTTTAGGCAAATCTTAAAGGAACGAGAGGTACAGACCTCTACAGACAGATTTGTTGTGCGACAGAGGTCCAGCGACTCAAGCTGGTCCTAGTGGCATTAAAGAAGAAGGGAAGTAACCCCGGAAAAGGACTTGATACCTCAATTTGTAATATTTTACAATTAAGAATAAAACTAAGTATGCCCGAAATGCCTAGCCATGCTAAGCGTTCTAGTGGTACACTCTGTAATCACAATTTTACTACATGTAAACCAAACAATAACCAAATTTCTGTAAACTCAGCATTGTAATCCTTATAGAGAATAAACTTTGAATTTGAATTTGAATTAAGGAAATGTGTGCAAAGTGGGTTGAACTGCAAACCTTTATGGATGAAAATCACCCTAACACAGATATTGCAAGCCGTGCTGGTGACTATTACAATGACAATGTTGTGGCCCATTTTAGGCAAATCTTAAAGGAACGAGAGGTACAGACCTCTACAGACAGATTTGTTGTGCGACAGAGGTCCAGCGACTCAAGCTGGTCCTAGTGGCATTAAAGAAGAAGGGAAGTAACCCCGGAAAAGGACTTGATACCTCAATTTGTAATATTTTACAATTAAGAATAAAACTAAGTACGTATGCCAAAATGCCTAGCCATGCTAAGCGTTCTAGTGGTACACTCTGTAATCACAATTTTACTACATGTAAACCAAACAATAACCAAATTTCTGTAAACTCAGCATTGTAATCCTTATAGAGAATAAACTTTGAATTTGAATTTGAATTTGAAGGGGCTTCCCCTTCTAAACATTAACAACTTCCACACTCTCCCCTCCTCCCATCCCATCAATCATCACCAGATCTTCAATAAAGGTAAGTGTCAGTTTGTGTGTATTAAAATTAATATTTCATGTGGTAAAATTTTTTTTTTTCATACTTTGGGGTGTCTTGCATGGATTAATTTGATTTCCATTATTTCTTATGGGGAAAATTAATTCAGCTAACGATAATTTCAGCTAACGATGAGCTTTCAGGAACGGATTAATATCGTTAGCTGAGGGTCCACTGTATAACGAGTTTTGGTCATAATCTGAAATGTCTATATTAGCGAAACGCCTTAAAGTGTAATGCTGTAAAGCGGAGGCCTACTGTAATTGTAAACCACTGTATTAACAAACCACCTTAAAGCATGGTTTGCCTATTATTAATAATAAGTAATAATAATAATTTTTTTTTCAACACGTCGGTCATCTCTCACCAAGGCTCTATAAATAATGTAATTTACATGAATACAATAGTAGGCACAAAACAAAAGCCACCAATTACGCAATTTATTTCAGGCAACTAATCATAAGGCTCAAATGACAAGCCTGGCCTATGGCCAGGCTCCGAGAGTAGTAAGACTCTTAAAACTCATCAAAGGTAAGATCTGGACATAGACTATTACACAGGACTTCTTATGCAGTTAGCTATAATCATATGTACACAATTAAATATATAGCTAATGAAAAATGGTCAATTATGAAAGAATTACAGTACAGATTTCTACACCAAGAGATCAACTCACTCAGATGAACTGTGAGCAGTAAATTTGGGCCTAGATATGAGAGAATTGGTCTGTGTGGTAAGTGTGTAATCATATAAAAAATCCTGCAGCACACAGTGCATAATGAGTAAAAAACTATGACGGTGTTTTTAGTTTAAAACAGCGACTTTGCGGTGTATTTTTGTATGGTTTTTATGGTTGTATTCAAAGTAGCAGAAATGTTCAATTTTTGACGATGTTCAAGAGTAAAGAAATCCCATCATGCATCCAATACATGTCAAATGGTGGGTCCAATATGCATTCACAGATGTACTGATATTATTTATACGATTATTACAATACTTCAAAACAGTAAATCTTCTGTTTTTTGGTGTAAATAAAAATTCCTTGTGTAAATAATCAAAATGGAATTCATGTGTAAAGCCCAGGTTGCTATGCCAAAATTACATCCAGTAAAAAAAAAAAAATGTACAATTCATCACATTCTACTAAGAAGGGAGAGAGACATTTTGAGGAAGGCATAATTTGTCAATTCTGTTTATGTATCTGTAATGACTATGCAAGATGTATTATGATACAAATTTAAATTGAAAGCCTTATATGTACTGTAATAATGTATGTTTGTGTAGCACCACCATCTCCTCCCTCCTCTCTATCCCTCCCTCTCAGAAGATATTCTCAGCACGAGCCAAAGGGTCTCCTGCATTCTGCCTTTTAAAAGAAAATGAACCTATATCTGAAACCATTTTCAAAATATGGACATAATTTTCAATTGTTCCTGTTTCCTAAAATGTTTATGAAACAGCTGAAAGGTGAAGATGAATCCAAGCTTACTTCAAGTTGTCTGCATCTTGCCTCAGCAGCAGACCCTGAACTTGTTCCTACTGCAGCTGCTGCTGCCACTGCTGCTGTTGTTTCAAGTTGTGTCTGAAGCTGTTTAATGTGAATCTCAGTGTCCTTCAACCTTTGTTTTAGAGATATATTTTCCTGTTCAAGCTTCATGTTCATATTTACATCTTTATCTCTTTGTTCATCTGAGTTCTGTAAAGACATAATATATAAACAGTTTTAAAAATACAATTAACTGCTGTATCACATAAATTAACACCACTTACAGGGATACAGAAAGGTAAATAATTTATAACTAAAATTATTGCCTTGAAATTTACATTTTCAATAAACATTTCTTTTTTTTTTTTAACACGTCAGCCGTTTCCTACCAAGGCAGGGTGGCCCAAACAGAAAGAAAAATCCAAACAGAAAGAAAAATCCAAACAGAAAGAAAAATCCAAACAGAAAGAAAAAACTTTCATCATCAATTAACACTTTCATCATCACTCATACATAAGCAATGTCTTTGCACAGATGCTCAGATACAACAATTTAGTAATATAATTAACGATACAAATACTGTACATATTTAAGGTCACACTAAGTCTGCTTATACTGAAATAAAAGCTTGTAAAAGTGAGTGAAAAGTAAGTGTGCAAGCCAATGGAAAAAGAAGGTGGATTAGACAGTAAGCAAAAACAAAAGTAAGAGAACCATGTAAATATATCTATGACGTTCCCATTCCAATGCCTCCCCCCCAAAAAAAAAAACTGTGTACTCATATAACTTGAGTGCAGGAACACAAAAAAAATTAGCAATAAAAACCTTTTTATTTCTTCCTCAACAGCTTTATTATCAACCCAGGCCAACTGGTCTCTTACCTCTTTTCCTTTATCAATGACTCCATTAGATGTTTCATTGGTATTTCCCAGTGTTGAGATTTGTGATTCTTTAAGCTGCTGTATCTCAGAATCCTTATTATAAAGAACTAATTGCAGATCTTCCAATTGTTTACGTAAATTCTCCATTTCAGGGTTGGGGAGTGAGTCAAAGAAATTGGCTGCATTCTGGGCATCAAAATGGTTGTTGAACTGTAACAAAAAACTATGGTGATTAATCTTAATTAATAATCTCTGATACATCATAACATAGCCTCCAATATATCACAAAAACCCTCCAATTAAATAAAAATTCAATACATGAACAATAACTTCTCATACATAATTGTAATCATTTATTTTTCATAAAGATAAAAATGAGTCACAAATATTTCTTAAATAGAAAAGCCCACAGTTTTGCAAAGCTTTTTGGTAGACTTAAAACAGAAGTAATACTTTAATTATATAGAACATGTGCACATACACAGAACTGTGGCTTGGCCAGGACTCGATCCTGTGTTCCCATGCCCAGCCCTGTGTGAAATGAGCAAAGTATGCATCTCTCTATCCACTAGACCACCATGTGTGTGTGTGTATGAATATGTGCGGGCTCACATACACGAGTATGGATGCCAGAGTATGTTGATACCAAAACTCTCACTGGTGTGAAGTGGGTTTTAACCCTTTCACTGTCAAGGCCCTTGCTCACAAACTTGCTCTCAGTGTATACCTGGAGAGGGTTCCAGGGGTCAACCCCCCCATGGGCTGGTCTGTGACCAGGCCTCCATGGTGGATCAGGGTGATAGCAGGTGTTACTGTTGGCAGAATGAAATGACGTACGAAAAACAGAGCCCGGCTGGTCAGGTGGGTTACCCAGTGACTGCTTGAAGACAGCCAGGGGTCTATTGGTAAACCCCCTATATGTAGGTGGAGGCGTTGAATTGGAGTCTTGGGCCCCCTGCATTGTGTTGTCTCTTATCATGCTAGTGGCACCCCTGCTTTACACTGGGGGGATGTTGCATCATCTGCCGAGTCTTTTGCTGTCATAGGGAGTGATTTTCGTGTGCAAGTTTGGTACTAATCCCTCTAGGATTTTCCAAGTGTATATAATCATGTATCTCTCCCGCCTGCATTCTAGGGAGTACAGGTTTAGGAGCTTCAAGCATTCCCAGTAATTGAAGTGGTTTATTGCAGTTATGCATGCCGTGAAGGTTCTCTGTACATTTTCTAGGTCAGCAATTTCACCTGCCTTGAAAGGTGTTGTTAGTGTGCAGCAATATTCCAGCCTAGATAGAACAAGCGACCTGAAGAGTGTCATCATGGGCTTGGCATCCCTAGTTTTGAAGGTACTCAGTATCCATCCTATCATTTTTCTAGCAGATGCAATTGATACAATATTATGGTCTTTGAAGGTGAGATCCTCTGACATGAGCACTCCCAGGTCTTTTACATTAGTTTTTCGCTCTATTGTGTGGTTAAAATATGTTTTATACTTTTATGTAGTTTCAATTTCTTCACGTTTTCCATATCAGAGTAATTGAAATTTCTCAACATTGAACTTCATATTCTCTTCTGCCACCCATTTAAAGATTTGGTTGATGTCCAATTGGAGTCTTGTGGTGTCTTCAATGGAGGACACTGTCATGCAAATTTGGGTGTCATCTGCAAAGGAAGACATGGAGCTGTGGCTTATATCCCTGTCTATGTCAGATATGAGGATGAGGAACTAGATGGAAGCAATTACTGTGCCTTGTGGAACAGAGCTTTTCATCGTAGCTGCCTCAGACTTTACTCTTTTACTACTACTCTTTGTGTTCTATTTGTTAGGAAATTATAGATCCATCCACTGAAGAATTTAAAAAAAAAATAATTTTTTCTTATGAAATGATAACCTTTTTCCCGATGGTAATGACACCAAAAGTAGCGAAATTTGATGGAAAGCTTATGGAATCACGCTCTTGTGAAGTTAGCGGTCTTGGCGATATATACGCATTGGTGATTTCGCCCACTTTGAGCCCTATTTTCGGCCAATTCCATTGTTCCAGTTTACCAAACTTATAGCTATTTCACTAGAACTCCATTTGTTCTATCAATTGAGTACAAGAAACCGCCCATTTACCGATTTCAACTGCCCAATAAAGTGGTCAGAAATTGGCAGTTTGGCCAGTTTCATACAAATTTCAAAAGATGCCAATTTCAAAATAGGGTAAAGAATAAACAATGCAGATAATCCTGGCACTAAAATAACATTTTCTCTGTTTATTACTCATGTTTCCAGGCCCCTCTTATATTACTCTTGCTTTCCATTTTGAATTTTTATTCACACAAAAAAATAGAAGATTTACTGTTATGCAGACTACTACATTATTGTAATAATTGTATAAATAATGTCAACCCATTCGTGACTGCATATCAGACTGGCCAATTGGACACATATTGGACAGTGATGTCATTTGTTTACTCATGAACATTGGGCAAAAATCAAACATTTCCACTAATTTGAGCTCAATTTCAAGGTACTTTTCATTGTGAAACCAATCAAAATCATCTCGGTTTCTGTAACATATCTTCCATTCTATTAAATGAGACCAAGAAAACGAGAATACAACCATAAATACCATATGAAAATACACCTCAAACTCGGCGTTTTAAACCAAAAACACTGTCGGAGTATTTTTATTCTCATTATGCACTGCATGCTCCAGATTTTTTATACTGCATACACTGACCATGCAGATCCATTCTCTCACATCTAGGTCTACCATCTTTCTCCCACTAGATTTGAATTCACTAGAATTTTGGTGTATTAATACGGCACCAACACTGGCTGGTAAGCCGTACTAATGCGACACAGACAGTGAAAAGGTTAAATGCTGCAGTGAGGAGGGGAAGGCTGGAGGCAGTGACGATGTCATGTCTGAGGACAATGTGTGTGGTGTGACTGTTAGGCAGAGAATTCGTAGTTTGGAGATTAGGAGGAGGGCAGGGTTACTAAAAGTATTATCCAGAGGGCTGAGAGGGGTTACTGAGGTGGTTTAGACACTTAGAGAGGATGGAGCAAAAAAAGAATGACTTGGAGGGTGCATAGATCTGTAGTGCTGGGATGGTGGGGTAGGGGGTCATCCCAGGAAAGGCTGTAGGGAGGGGGGGTAAAGGAGGTTTTGTATTTGAGGGACTTGGACATTTAATAGGAAAACTAGTAAGCTAGACTTGAGTTCTGGAGGTGGGAAGCGAAGTGCTTACACTCTGAAGGAGGAGTGGGGATACTGCAGTTTGGAGTGGCAACTGAGCTGTAATGTCAGCACACCCCTGTTAAGATGGTGATGGATAAAGTGATGTTGAAAATCTCTCTTTTTTTGTGTCACCCTACCTTGGTGGGATAAGGCCAATGTTAAAAAAAATTAACAATAACCAAGCTACAGTGACCACCCCAAAAAGAAAACACATTTGCCTTCATTGATTCAATAACCGTCTTGCCACAAGTGTACTGATATCACAGTTCAGAAAACCCTCCAAACAATATCATCCTCACCCTCCTTCTAGCATCCAGGTACTGTACTTTCCACTTTCAGTTTTTAAGCTCAGCTAACTGATTTTCCTGATCCATTCATGTGTGGAAATAAATGGAAATAAATGGTATAAAATACCGACACAATGGAAATATAAACACATATGCAGTATAATGTGATCCTTTATTGACTACGTTTCGCCCACACAGTGGGCTTTTTCAAGTCACAAACAGAACTACCTGGGGTGGAAGGAACGCGAGTATTTATAGTCAGGTTCAGAGTGCTGAGGTCAGGTGGAGAATGCTGCATCCGATGATGTACCGAGTGGGGTTATAGAGTCTAAAATCTTGGGTAGCTTGGAAAGGAGATTGGACAAGTTTGTGAGCAGACCTTCTACAGTGTTCTTATGTGGGATAGCGATGAAGAAGCTTCTTGGCAAGTGGTTCAGCTATGTTATAGAAGCCACTATTCTGGTTGAAGTTGTCGGATATAGAAATAAGTGATGATTCCAGGATTCTTCGGTATTGAGTGTTGTCTTCTGTGGCGATAAGTCTTGAGTTTCTGTAGTTTATCAAGTGGTTGTGTGAATTACGGTGTTGTACGCAGGCATTCCTTGTGTCGTCAGACCTGCTTGCGTATTGGTGTTCTGAAATATGTGTTTGGAGGTCCCTTGATGTTTCGCCAACGTATAACTTGTTGCAGTCATTACAAGGGATTATGTATACCCCTGCAGAGGGTGGAAGCTTGTCCTGTCTATCACTGGTAATGTCCTTGATGGTCGTGGTTGTGGAGGTAGATACTTGAAACGAGGTATTGGAAAAGATGTTGGAAACGTGTTTGGCAATGGAGTTGGTGGGGAGGACTATGTATCTCTTCTCGGCAGTGTCTTCTCTGGGTGTGTTGAAGATGTTTAATGCCCGTCGTCTGCAGTCTCTGATGAAGTGACGAGGATAGTGAAGTTTAGAAAATACTTGTTCAATCATCGTGTATTCTTCTTCAAGAAACTCATTGCTGCAGATTCTGAGTGCACGCAGGAAGAAGCGGTCCTGGTGAACCTATACATGGAACATCTTGAAGCCGAACGTTTCTCCACCATTATTCCTTCGTCTGTCACCTGGCTCCGTTATGTTGACGACATTCTCCTTATAACTCCTAAACACTTCAATGTTAAAGCTCTCCAAGACAAGCTCAACCAGGTCGAGCCTTCAATCCAGTTCACACTTGAAGAAGAAGTCGACAACACTCTACCTTTCCTTGATGTTCTGCTTTGCAAAGCTGACCACGAACTTCGTTTTAAAGTCTATCGAAAACCCACCAACCAAAACGATCTTCTCCACTTTTACTCCCACCACGACACCAAAACCAAACGTGGTGTAATTATAGGCTTCTTCCTGCGTGCACTCAGAATCTGCAGCAATGAGTTTCTTGAAGAAGAATGCACGATGATTGAACAAGTATTTTCTAAACTTCACTATCCTCGTCACTTCATCAGAGACTGCAGACGACGGGCATTAAACATCTTCAACACACCCAGAGAAGACACTGCCGAGAAGAGATACATAGTCCTCCCCACCAACTCCATTGCCAAACACGTTTCCAACATCTTTTCCAATACCTCGTTTCAAGTATCTACCTCCACAACCACGACCATCAAGGACATTACCAGTGATAGACAGGACAAGCTTCCACCCTCTGCAGGGGTATACATAATCCCTTGTAATGACTGCAACAAGTTATACGTTGGCGAAACATCAAGGGACCTCCAAACACATATTTCAGAACACCAATACGCAAGCAGGTCTGACGACACAAGGAATGCCTGCGTACAACACCGTAATTCACACAACCACTTGATAAACTACAGAAACTCAAGACTTATCGCCACAGAAGACAACACTCAATACCGAAGAATCCTGGAATCATCACTTATTTCTATATCCGACAACTTCAACCAGAATAGTGGCTTCTATAACATAGCTGAACCACTTGCCAAGAAGCTTCTTCATCGCTATCCCACATAAGAACACTGTAGAAGGTCTGCTCACAAACTTGTCCAATCTCCTTTCCAAGCTACCCAAGATTTTAGACTCTATAACCCCACTCGGTACATCATCGGATGCAGCATTCTCCACCTGACCTCAGCACTCTGAACCTGACTATAAATACTCGCATTCCTTCCACCCCAGGTAGTTCTGTTTGTGACTTGAAAAAGCCCACTGTGTGGGCGAAACGTAGTCAATAAAGGATCACATTATACTGCATATGTGTTTATATTTCCATCCATTCATGCGTGTTACCTTGCTCACACTCCAACAGCATGTCAAGTGATAAAAATCACTTGTCTTCACTCATTCCAATCTAATATACTAATGCTGGATGTTTAAGCCTATAGCACTTAAAAACTTTCTTGTTTAACCCTTCTTTCCACTCTCCATACTCTCTTAGTCATTTTATTATGCTCCATTTTTTCTTAATGCCCAAACCACTTCATCAACAACCCAGCATCAGCCCTTTGAATTATATTTTTGGTAACCCAACACCATCCTCTAATTTCTACTGTGCAAATTCTCTTCATAATATTCACACCACACATTGCTCTCAAACATGACATCTCACTGCCTCCAACTGCCTCCCCACTGCAGTATTTAAAGCCCATTATCTTACACCCATATAAAAGGTGGCTCTGGTGGCCTGGTGGCTAACGCTCTCGCTTCACACGGCGAGGGTCTGGGGTTCGATTCCCAGCCAGAGTAGAAACATTGGACGTGTTTCTTTCCACCTGTTGTCTATGTTCCCCATCAGTAAAATGGGTACCTGGGTGTTAGTCGACTGGTGTGGGTCGCATCCTGGGACACTGACCTAAGGAGGCCTGGTCACAGACCGGGCCGCGGGGGCGTTGACCCCCGGAACTCTCTCCAGGTAAACTCTCCAGGTAAACCATAACACTGGTACATCCCCCTTTTTACCTCCTAGGATAAACTTATTTCATTCCACAGATGCCCTGACACACAACCCACCCAACTTTCCTCCCTGGTCTATTCTATGTTTCACTGACCCATCTGTTGCCATGTCAACTCCTAAATATCTGAATACATTAGCTTCCCTCTTCAGCTCCCTTCCTCCAATCTTTCATTGCCAAAACTTTTTGTTATTCTCATCACTTTGTTCTTTGCTTAATTTATTTTTAATTTCCTTCTTTTCCATACCCTCCCAAATTCCTCCACCAACTTCTCTTCAGGATCTTCTAAAAGAACTGTCGTCAGCAAATATATATAAGCACATAATACAACAAATACAAAAAAAAGTACATCACATAGCAATACTGATTCATCTCAAAACAAAAATTAAGTCTAGTGTCAAGCTCTTATGCAACTTTCAACCCATGTTATCCTCCCTTACAAGAAATACACTACAGTAGTTAAAATTATATTGTACAAATATTCCTTAAAGTAAATTAATACAACTTTTTAGATTTGTTCATTACTTGTACGTCACTTGCAGCTATTGTTTGTTGAGTAGGTTGCTGCTGCTGCTGTTCCTGCTGCTGTTCCTGTTGCTGTTGGTGTTGCTGATGCTGTTGCTCCTGCTGTTGCTGCTGCTGCTAATAATAAGCAAACATTAACAACTCTCATTGTATTCAAGTCAAATAATACTTAAACAAGTTATTTCCCAGTATATATGAATATAAAATAAGCTTTTATATTGTTTCTTTCTATAATGTAAAAAGAGGTATACATGAGTGTAATGATAAAAATAGGATGACACTGTATGTCTGCACTAACTGCCTATACATTCCAGTATGTAGTGCCAGCAAAATGAGTTGAACTGACAATGAAAAATAAATAGAAAAATTTCAATGTTGCATTTCTTTCTCTTGTACTAGATAGCCCATGGGCAATGTTACTGAGGGTGATCATATGTCAAGCAGCTTATATGTTGCTATAAGGAAATGCATTTTTGTGTGCTCTTGACCTTATTTTGGACTTATTTGGGATTATTTGAAAGCTTATATTCGAGTTACCAGTTATCACAATGGGGCCCCTGTAAGCTTAGTATGGAAAAAAAAAGGTTTCTGTTTTGGCCCTGGCTTGAGGACATAACTGTGAGATAGCCAAGTAAGTTGGATGACTTAAACTGGCAATGCAGAAGGTGAAGAATACTGCAACCAATCTCATGCCTCATGAGGTTCCCAAGAGGAAGATAGATGCTGGAAGGCAAAATAAGACTACTTCTTGCACTGATAAATTAATAAAACACTAAATAATGAATCCTTTCATCACAGCCAAGAATAAACATGGCAAAATGCTGATGATTTCTTTTGCAGACACTAACTTGCAGGAAAGATTATAAAGATAGTGACATGATGTTCATGTTGCCTGCACAAGATAGGTTGGATTATGATACTACACTACTGCAACAGATTAAAAAACTAGCTGCTATAAAATCCAAATAAGTAAACAGATCTAACAGTAATGGCACATCACACAAATGCATCACATACTTAGACTTTTTTTTTCCATGAACCAGCCATATCCTACCAAGGCAGGGTGACCTAAAACGAAAAACGAAAGCTTCTCTTTTTAAATTTAGTAATGTATACCTATGCCTGGAGAGGGTTTATGGGGTCAACTCCACTGCGGTCTGGTCTGAGACCTGGCCACATATGTGATAATGGATAAAAAATGGAGGGCAAGTGTTATACAGTAGAAGCCTTGGGATATGATTAATGAACAAAAGGAAGGTTACTTTTGTGGCTGGAATGCCTACAGTGTTTATTTTGGACTATGTTTTTAAATTGGAATTTGATAAATTTTGTGTACAATTGGCCAAGTTACCCAAATCTGCACAATGTATATGGTAGTTCTGACAACTGCATGGGCATACCAGTTTGAACAATGAGATTGGCCTAAAATAGGTCTCAAAGTAGGCAAACTTGCTGATGCATAAACTGTGCCCAGACTGCCAACTTTGCACCTGCATAAATTCATGAGTTTTCCATCAAATTTTGCATTTTGGGGGTCTACACCTTCAGAAGAAGATTCTTTACCATTTTCGGAGTTATTTTTTTTTAAATTGTGACTATGATGGGACTTTTAATTTTAGGGGTCATGACAGTGATGGGGTTAAGGATCAGGTGCGTAGATACTCACCAAGGATGTTAGTTCAGCTTCCTTTTTGTACACTTCATAATAATAATAATCCCGTGCATGGGTTACTTCTGCTAACTGTTGCTGAAGGAGTGCTACTTGTTGTGCTAACTCTTCTATGCTCTCACCACTGCTTTCTTTCTGGTTTTCAACTATATTTGCTTCTACAGATGAAGCTGTAGATTTTACTGCAATGCCTTGTTGAGCTTTTAGTACTGTTAAGAGATGAAAACAATATATAATGTTGGTTTGTTAATCTGTAATTTGTTGATATCCCATCAATTCCTATAGCTGATTACTTGGTATCAGCCATATAACTATACTAACACTGTGTTACTTATCACCAAATAACTTTTTAACTCAGCCATTTTCTACCCACCGAGGCAAGGTAACCCAAAAAAGAATATACATTCGCCATCATTTCCTCTCTAGCTGCTTTGCAAGAAAGGCAAAGAATTCACAGACCAGTCCAAACACATGAACCTTAGCAGGGTCATTTGAACTGATGTCCATGTGCATTTTTTTCTAGATATCATTGGACATAGTGAGCGTGTTAGATAGGAGTGAATGGAGACGAATGGTATTTGGGACCTAACGAGCTGTTGGAGTGTGAGCAGGGGAATATTTAGCGAAGGGATTCAAGGAAACTGGTTATTTTATATAGCCAGACTTGAATCCTGGAAATGGCAAGTACAATGCCTGCACTTTAATAAGGAGGGATTTAGGATATTGGCAGTTTGGAGGGATATGTTGTGTATCTTTATACGTATATACTTCTAAACTGTTGTATTCTGAGCACCTCTGCAAAAACAGTGATTATGTGTTAGTGAGGTGAAAGTGTTGAATGATTACCTGGAGTTTACCTGGAGAGAGTTCTGGGGTCAACGCCCCCGTGGCCCGGTCTGTGACCAGGCCTCCTGGTGGATCAGAGCCTGATCAACCAGGCTGTTGCTGCTGGCTGCACGCAAACCAACGTACGAGCCACAGCCCGGCTGGTCAGGAACCGACTTTAGGTGCTTGTCCAGTGCCAGCTTGAAGACTGCCAGGGGTCTGTTGGTAATCCCCCTTATGTATGCTGATGATGAATGTATTTTCTTTTTGGGGATTTTTTCTTTCTTTTTGGGTCGACTTGCCTCGGTGGGAGACGGCCGATTTGTATAATAAAAAAAAAAAAAAAAAAAAAAAAAAACTTTCTTTTAACACACTGACTGTTTCCCACCAAAGTTGAGTGATCCAAGAAAGGAAACATTCACCATCATTCAATACTTGTCATACCAGAAGTTTGCAAATATCACAATTCAAATGATTCTCCAAACTGTAACATTCCTCCCTTCCTTCAGAGTGCATGCACCATATTATAATTCCAAAAGTAATGCTCCCAAACAGAATGAAATTTTATAGAGAAAACAGCCCAATGACAGTGATACAAAAGGAAGGATATTTTCAGAAAAATCATATACTTTCCTAATTTAAATAATTTTCTACACTTATGGATGAATAGCTTGCATAACCTCTATTGTAACATTTGATACAAACTGGTATTTACATCACAAATTTGTTGACATATAGTACTGTACATTGAAACATTTGATACAAAGCAGAAGTTTCATCATGAAGCTGTTGAAGTATATTATAAAAGTTCAGGCAAACCAGAATTTTGATCATGAATTTAAACACAGTAGATTATACAAGTTCACACAAACCTGTATTTTCATCATGAAGCTGTTGAACTTTAGATGACAACTGTTCTTTGTCACTTCTGACTTCTTCAATTTCTCTCTGTATGTCTCTTAAGAGATCCCTTAGCCGAGTGATCTCGGCATCCTGATCTCGTATAATGTCTTTATATTTAGTGACTTCTGCTGGGCACACCTCTGCAGTATTACCAACCATCAGTTGGGGAGTTACTGCCCGTACACACGATACTGAAATATGTACATAAAATAGTTGTGTGACATTCCTAAATTGCTACCCTTAATGGCACACTTATGGTTACCCATTAAGGGAGTTACCATTAAAAGTGTAGAAATAAAAATAAAAAGAATATCAGATAAAAATTAAAAGGACAAACCACCTGCGAGCTTCCATGTGCAGATGACTTTTATGTAAATTTGAATATGATGTAAACTGCCAAATTTTTGCCAGAATGCATTACAGTGAACCCCCGGTCATTGGCTGTAATCCGTTCCAGAAGGTCAGCCGATAACCAAAATGGCCGTTAACCGAATTAATATTTCCCATAAGAATTAATGGAAATACAATTAATCAGTTCCAAACAAAAATATTCACAAAAAAATAATTTTTTTAACAATTATGTAAGTATTACATACCTTTATTGAAGGCTAATACTGGCTTCTGGAAGATAGGGAGGAGGAAAGATGGAGGAGTTAGTGTTTGGAAGGGGAATCCCCCTTCATAAAGACTTTAGGTAGCAAAGCCTTCTCTGGGGTTACTTTCCTTCTTTGTCTTTTATTGCCACTAGGACCAGCTTGAGAGTTACTGGACAGGGGTCCAGTGACTCTGTTTCTGGCGTCTCTAAGATTTCCCTGAAGTGGGACAGGGTTTTGTCACTAAACATGTTGCAGATATGGCTTGTTTCAGCTTTGTCAGGGTGGTGTTTCTCTACAAAAGCTTGCACCCTAGTCCACATTGCACACACCTCTTTTAATCTCTGAAGAAGGCACCTCCTTCACTCCCTCCTCCTCCTCCTCTGAAGCAAGTTCCTCAGCTGCAGTCTGTTGCTGTTCGAGATGAAGCTCTTGCAGCTCTTCAGTCGTTAGCTCTTCCCTGTGGTCCTCCACCAACTCTTCCACATCCTCACCACTCACCTCGAACCCCAGGGACTTCCCCAGTGCCACAATAGAGTCCACAAGGTTGGCAGGGTCAGGGTCAGCCTCAAACCCTTCAAAATCCCTCTCTTGGACACAATCTGGCCACAGTTTTCTCCAAGCAGAGTTCAAAGTCCTGGAAGCCACTCCCTCTTTGGAGCCATCTTTACTTATTTCACAGTTGCACTGCAAGAAAAACCATTAAAAACAATGGTAAACAAGTGAAATGTTTGGATGTTTGAGCAGAAGCTTCCTCAGCCACCGAGAGACAAAGCCAAACTGAAGCACGAGCTGCCCCAGCCGGGGGATGGACGCATCCAAAACGGCCGATAACCGAGTGAACAGCCAATAACCGGGCGCCAAAAAACCCGCTGATAACCGAGTTGGCCGATAACCAAATCAGCCAATAACCGGGGGTCCACTGTACTTAATAGAGGATTTAATAAATTTTGAGAAAATTAGACAGGACAAAATTTAAGACCTGTCTAGGTGTCAATAAACAATATGAAAGTGGAATAGTGGCCATTGGAATGCACAACCAACAGTGAGTGGCAAGACTTACCTTTGCACAACCAAGAATATAAGGAAGCATGGACATTTTTACTTGGCTATCAGAGTTAACATTGGGTGCTTGATTAAGAAACTATTTGTGGCAACACTGGAAGCCTAACAGGCTTCAGTGTATTCAGGTCTGAGTATCTTTAAGGTGTGTGATGCAGTTTTAACACACAGGCTTCATACATGCACATGCCTGATAGTGCCCACAAGGCTATGATGGAGTGAATCTGGAGAGTGGCAAGTTAAGATGCAGGATCAGGATCAAAGAATTGATCCTTGCAACTACAGCTCCAAGTTCTGCCATACACAGTACAGTTCCTTTCTCCTACAATATTACTGATGCAACAAATGCCATGTCATTTGTAACTGTTATGGGCAATAGAGAAACCTGCCAGCATCATTTTATGCTGTGGTGGCAACTGCCATGAAAGTGCTAAATGTAAGGTAATTTTCTATTGCATTAATTATGGGTTATGGGAACAGTCACACAACCTCTAACAAACTTTGTATGTGATATTATTTTTTGTAAGCAAGCAATTCCACATGATAACTCAATCAGTACTTTTTTTTTTTTGACATATTGGCCATCTCTCACCGAGGCAGGATGACCCAAAAAAGAAACACTTTCACCATCATTCACAAACAATCACTGTCTTTGCAGAGGCACTCAGATACAACAGTTTTGAAATACAGCCTCTCCTCACTGAGCGATGGAGTTCTGTTCCTAAGGCCACGTCATTAAATGAATTCATTGCTCAGTAAGAAGCATACTATAATGGTAGAGTGTTTGTGTCAACCATCTTTGATATTGTTTTAATGTCACCTTTGCACTATTTATAACATTTCTGGTATATTTTTAAATGTTTATACAGTAGTGTACTGTATATTGAAATAAACAGAATAGAGGATATCAGCTCTAATATACATTATTTAGGTATGAATGCTGGTCAGAGCCCATTGTAAGTTCGAGGCGTCGGTAAACGAGTACATCGCTAAGTGAGGAGAGGCTGTATATATATATATATACATTTTAACGCTTCAGGTTCAAACTTATGAACTCCGACAAGGAAGATGCAAGTATGTGTGTGTACCCAACAATACTGCTGGGCTTAGATGTCATCCCTCCAAACAGCCAGTATCCCAAACCCCCTCCAGTAAAGTACAGGCACTGTACTTCCCACCTCCATATGTACGAGCAGTAAATAAATAGTGTCTCTTTTCTTTTACTGGGTCACTCTGCCTCGGTGAGAGATGGTCACCCTGCCTCGGTGAGAGATGGTCACCGTGCCTCGGTGAGAGATGGTCACCGTGCCTCGGTGAGAGATGGTCACCGTGCCTCGGTGAGAGATGGTCACCGTGCCTCGGTGAGAGATGGCCGACGTCTTGAGAAAAAAAATCTCTTATACACATTTTTTACAAAACTTCTTTATTATCATAATCAACTTAAGTGCTAAACTCACAAGCTTCGTACAACACTACAAAACTTCAATGCCTTTAACAAATGACAAAACTTCCCTGGTCACTTTATCATATACTCATCATATTCAAACTCCATATATATATGTACACCCAACATTTCTTCTTACATGCCTCTCCTGTTAGCTATCAATATGAGTATCTGATCCACACAACTTATTTCATGAGCATCACTGACCAGATCCTCATTTATTTTCTGTACTCTTTTAATGATTAACTTGCCTGCCACACTGCCAAACACATTTAGTAATCTAATGCTTCTGTAGCATGTTTTTTTTTTTTTTATTATCACACCGGCCGATTCCCACCAAGGCAGGGTGGCCCGAAAAAGAAAAACTTTCACCATCATTCACTCCATCACTGTCTTGCCAGAAGGGTGCTTTACACTACAGTTTTTAAACTGCAACATTAACACCCCTCCTTCAGAGTGCAGGCACTGTACTTCCCATCTCCAGGACTCAAGTCCGGCCTGCCGGTTTCCCTGAATCCCTTCATAAATGTTACTTTGCTCACACTCCAACAGCACGTCAAGTATTAAAAACCATTTGTCTCCATTCACTCCTATCAAACACGCTCAAGCATGCCTGCTGGAAGTCCAAGCCCCTCGCACACAAAACCTCCTTTACCCCCTCCCTCCAACCCTTCCTAGGCCGACCCCTACCCGCCTTCCTTCCACTACAGACTGATAACACTTGAAGTCATTCTGTTTCGCTCCATTCTCTCTACATGTCCGAACCACCTCAACAACCCTTCCTCAGCCCTCTGGACAACAGTTTTTGGTAATCCCGCACCTCCTCCTAACTTCCAAACTACGAATTCTCTGCATTATATTCACACCACACATTGCCCTCAGACATGACATCTCCACTGCCTCCAGCCTTCTCCTCGCTGCAACATTCATCACCCACGCTTCACACCCATATAAGAGCGTTGGTAAAACTATACTCTCATACATTCCCCTCTTTGCCTCCAAGGACAAAGTTCTTTGTCTCCACAGACTCCTAAGTGCACCACTCACTCTTTTTCCCTCATCAATTCTATGATTCACCTCATCTTTCATAGACCCATCCGCTGACACGTCCACTCCCAAATATCTGAATACGTTCACCTCCTCCATACTCTCTCCCTCCAATCTGATATTCAATCTTTCATCACCTAATCTTTTTGTTATCCTCATAACCTTACTCTTTCCTGTATTCACCTTTAATTTTCTTCTTTTGCACACCCTACCAAATTCATCCACCAATCTCTGCAACTTCTCTTCAGAATCTCCCAAGAGCACAGTGTCATCAGCAAAGAGCAGCTGTGACAACTCCCACTTTGTGTGTGATTCTTTATCTTTTAACTCCACGCCTCTTGCCAAGACCCTCGCATTTACTTCTCTTACAACCCCATCTATAAATATATTAAACAACCACGGTGACATCACACATCCTTGTCTAAGGCCTACTTTTACTGGGAAAAAATTTCCCTCTTTCCTACATACTCTAACTTGAGCCTCACTATCCTCGTAAAAACTCTTCACTGCTTTCAGTAACCTACTCCTACACCATACACTTGCAACATCTGCCACATTGCCCCCCTATCCACCCTGTCATACGCCTTTTCCAAATCCATAAATGCCACAAAGACCTCTTTAGCCTTATCTAAATACTGTTCACTTATATGTTTCACTGTAAACACCTGGTCCACACACCCCCTACCTTTCCTAAAGCCTCCTTGTTCATCTGCTATCCTATTCTCCGTCTTACTCTTAATTCTTTCAATTATAACTCTACCATACACTTTACCAGGTACACTCAACAGACTTATCCCCCTATAATTTTTGCACTCTCTTTTATCCCCTTTGCCTTTATACAAAGGAACTATGCATGCTCTCTGCCAATCCCTAGGTACCTTACCCTCTTCCATACATTTATTAAACAATTGCACCAACCACTCCAAAACTATATCCCCACCTGCTTTTAACATTTCTATCTTTATCCCATCAATCCCGGCTGCCTTACCCCCTTTCATTTTACCTACTGCCTCACGAACTTCCCCCACACTCACAACTGGCTCTTCCTCACTCCTACAAGATGTTATTCCTCCTTGCCCTATACACGAAATCACAGCTTCCCTATCTTCATCAACATTTAACAATTCCTCAAAATATTCCTTCCATCTTCCCAATACCTCTAACTCTCCATTTAATAACTCTCCTCTCCTATTTTTAACTGACAAATCCATTTGTTCTCTAGGCTTTCTTAACTTGTTAATCTCACTCCAAAACTTTTTCTTATTTTCAACAAAATTTGTTGATAACATCTCACCCACTCTCTCATTTGCTCTCTTTTTACATTGCTTCACCACTCTCTTAACCTCTCTCTTTTTCTCCATATACTCTTCCCTCCTTGCATCACTTCTACTTTGTAAAAACTTCTCATATGCTAACTTTTTCTCCCTTACTACTCTCTTTACATCATCATTCCACCAATCGCTCCTCTTCCCTCCTGCACCCACTTTCCTGTAACCACAAACTTCTGCTGAACACTCTAACACTACATTTTTAAACCTACCCCATACCTCTTCGACCCCATTGCCTATGCTCTCATTAGCCCATCTATCCTCCAATAGCTGTTTATATCTTACCCTAACTGGCTCCTCTTTTAGTTTATAAACCTTCACCTCTCTCTTCCCTGATGCTTCTATTCTCCTTGTATCCCATCTACCTTTTAACTCTCAGTGTAGCTACAACTAGAAAGTGATCTGATATATCTGTGGCCCCTCTATAAACATGTACATCCTGAAGTCTACTCAACAGTCTTTTATCTACCAATACATAATCCAACAAACTACTGTCATTTCGCCCTACATCATATCGTGTATACTTATTTATCCTCTTTTTCTTAAAATATGTATTACCTATAACTAAACCCCTTTCTATACAAAGTTCAATCAAAGGGCTCCCATTATCATTTACACCTGGCACCCCAAACTTACCTACCACACCCTCTCTAAAAGTTTCTCCTACTTTAGCATTCAAGTCCCCTACCACAATTACTCTCTCACTTGGTTCAAAGGCTCCTATACATTCACTTAACATCTCCCAAAATCTCTCTCTCTCCTCTGCATTCCTCTCTTCTCCAGGTGCATAGCATGTTTACTTTTATATAATATTACAATTGCAACTTTTTCCTAATGATCTGGCTCAGTACCACTTTCTAAAACCTTGTGGCAAATCTTCAAACCCCTGTACTTATGACTCACAGAATCGAAATAACACAATTGCAAGCAAACCAGGGAACAGGTGGGGTTTGAACCCATGGCAAGTTTAAGGACTCACTTGCCATGAGTTCAAACTCTCACACATTGTTTTTTTTTTTTTTTTTCCCTGTACTTAATAACTTGTGTATATGTCTCATTCACATATGCTATTTTCCCATAATTTAATTTGCTATATTTTTTCTTTCTCCCTTGCATCTTCCTAGAAAAAATTTAAAACTTCATATTTTATTAAAAATTTTCATTTTAAAAATTTTTTTTTTTTTTTTTTTTTTTTTTATCACTAAAACTCGACCCCTAGCTATCCGAACATTTTCATTCTCCCTTAATCAGCCTCCTTGCTATCGGGCATTTTAATTTTTTTCCCCCCCCCCCCCCAAAAAAAAAAAAATCATTCCCCAAATGAAAAGGCCCCAAAAATTTTTATAACAATAAAAACACAAGTTTTAGAAAAAAACATACAACAAGGGTTAAATTATACATGGACCCCCGCTTAACGATCACCCCCAAATGCACCAATTATGTAAGTGTATTTTGTAAGTGCTTTGTACGTGTATGTTTAGGGGTCGAAATGGACTAATCTACTTTACAATATTCCTTAGGGAACAATTCGGTCAGTACTGGCACCTGAACTACTCTGGAATGAAAAAAAAAACGTTAACCGGGGTCCACTGTATACGTATAAAAAGCAACTGCTTTTAATTTATAAAGGTTTTATTACCAAGCAATAATGAAATAGATAAACTCCCTTTTAAGCAAGCAAGTACTACAGGAAATGTATTTACAATATACAGTGGGCCCCCCATTTTTGGGGGGCTGACTTTCGTGAAATTACTTTCGGGAAGTTTTTTCGGCAAAAATTTTTGGGCCCTCCGTTTTGTATTAGACTCATGATTTCGGGACCCTCTTTTTTTCCCGCTGCCCATCACCGCCACACAAAGCCAGTCTCCGCCATTCATGCTCATGTGCCATTGTTTACCAAAGTACCATCACCCCCTGGGTTCATACTAATAATCAATTGTTTTTTGTGATTGCAACGCTAAATAAGTCCCATGGGCCCAAGGAAAGCTGTACAAAGCCCTTTGGTAAAGAAAGTGAGGAACACATCGAATTAAGAAGGAAAAACATGAAAAAAATGGAGTGGGGCGGTTCAGAGCTTGCCAGGATGTAGCAAACCCACTCAACCAGTACTTCAAAACGTGGCGAAAAGGGAAAGGAAATAAAGTGTGCTGTTGCTGCAAAGATTAAGGACATTTGTGCAAAGTGGACTGAAGTGCAAACATTTATGGATGACTTCACCCTAACAAAGCTGTTGCGGGCCCGTACAATGACAGTGTTGTGTCCCACTTCAGACAAATCTTAAAGAAACGCCAGAAAAACAGAGCTCTCTGGACAGATATTTTGTGCGACAGGGTTCCAGTGACTCAAGTTTTTCCCCCAGTGCCAGTGTCTTTAAAAAACAAAGAAGGGAAGTAACCCCAGATAAGGACTTCATACCTGAAGTCCTAATGGAAGGAGATTCTCCTTCCAAACAATAGTGTACACCTTCCTCCTATCCCCTCCTCCTGTCTTCCATCCACCCAGAAGTCTTCAGTAAAGGTAAGTGTAATGTTATTATTATTTTTTATATGCATGTACTTGATTTCTCACTGTTTTCAGTATGTAAATCTTTACTTAATTTGAAAAAAATATTTAATTTTAATATTTTTGGGTGTCTGGAACGGATTAATTTTATTTCCATTATTTCTTATAGGGAAAATGGTTTCGCCATTCGGCAATTTCGACTTTCGGCAGGCTCTCTGGAATGGATTAATCGCGAAACTCGGGGGTCCACTGTACTGTATATAAATTATGATCTGGCCCAACTATGCAGGGAGAGTTGAGATTAAAGATGGCTGAAAAGAATACACTTGAAAAAGTCAAACCTTCTAAACTCTTGAAAAGCCTGCAGAATTCATGATCAAACACGAGATCTGAAGGTTTTTTTGGCTGCCAGCTGAGGTGATTTTGCAGCCTTTGAGTATACTTCTGTTCTTGATATATTACTCAATTTATCACCAAAGTTTTCTGCCCCAATACGATCACTCACAAGCTGCTTGAGACTCTCTCTTGAGAAGTTGCTACCACTGCCGTCATTAAACTGGACACACAGACCAAGCAGGAATGCACAAAGACCCTGACAAACCATCTCAAGTTCATCATGCTCATTAGCACTCACCTGAAAAAATACATAAAATCACATGCAAATTAAAAATGTCCATTAATAACTAACTCACAAATTGGAAATAAAAACAGTCCTGGAGTCCAGAACATTGCCTATTTATTTTTCTCCAATTTATGAGTTAGATGTGAATTGTTTCAGCCATAATCTTGTGACTTACTTTAAAGCTGGCTATGATACATTAGCTAAATCACATTGATACACATATAATTATATAATAAGAATTCTATCACTACCTTGGTGGGAGACAGCCAGTGTGGTAAAAAATTCAGATGAGTGCAAGACAGAAACCTGTATTTGTTTTACATGATGGTAGGAGTGCTGATGTCTTTTTTTCTATCTAAAACACACAAGACAACATGTATAACTTGCTACTTTTACTTATAATTAGGTCACACTAACATGTATGTACACATTTATGTATACACACTCACTCGAGTTTTTTTTTTAATAGTTCTTCTTTCGACAAACTGGCCGTAACCCACCAAGGCAGGGTGGCCCCAAAAAAGAAAAACGAAAAGTTTCTCTTTTTAAATTTAGTAATTTATACAGGAGAAATGGTTACTAACCCCTTGCTCCCGGCATTTTAGTCACCTCTTACAACACGCATGGCTTACGGAGGAAGAATTCTGTTCCACTTCCCCATGGAGATAAGAGGAAATAAACAAGAACTAGAAAGAAAACAGAAGAAAACCCAGAGGAGTGTGTATATTTATGCTTGTACATGTATGTGTAATGTGACCTAAGTGCAAGTAGAAGTAGCAAGACGTACCTGAAATCTTGCATGTTTATGAGACAGAAAAAAGGACACCAGCAATTCTATCATCATGTAAAACAATTACAGGCTTTCGTTTTACACTCATTTGGCAGGACGGTGTACCTCCCTGGGTGGTTGCTGTTACCAACCTACTACCTATATTAATAGTTCTTGTTTATTATTTTCCTTTCATATTCATGAAGAAGTGGAATGAGAATTTTTCCTCCATAAGCCATGCATGTATGTCATAAAAGTCAACTAAAATGCCAGGAGGAATGTGCTAGCAACCCCTTTTCCTGTACGGCTTACTAAAAATAAAAAGAAGAAAACCTTTAAGAAGGGGGGCAAAAGAGGTTTTGTGTACAAGGAGCCTGGACATGCAGCAGGCATGTGTGAGCATTTACGATAGGAGTGAATGGAGACAAATGGTTTTAGGGACCTGACGAGCTGTTGGAGTGTGACCAGGGTAATATTTTGTGAAGGGATTCAGGGAAACCGGTTAGCCGGACTTGAGTCCTGCAAATGGGAAGTACAATACCTGCACTTTAAAGGAGGGGTCTGGGATATTGGCAGTTTGGAGGGACATCTAAACTGTCGTATCTGAGCACCTCTGCAAAGACAGTGATTATGTATGAGTGATGATGAAAGTGTTAAATGATGATGAAAGTTTTTTTTTTCTTTCTTTTTGGGTCACCCTGCCTTGGTGGGAAATGGCTGGCATGTTAAAAAATAATAATAATAATAATAATAATAATAATAATGCAAAGTGGAACTAATCACAGTTGATTTTTTGCCAATAACACTTTACTTTCAGGAGATTCTGAATAGAAGTTGAAAAGGTTGGTGGACTTATTTTGGAGGGTATGCACAAGAAGGACATTAAAACTGAATGTAGGAAAGAGAAAGGTTATAAGAGTAACAAAGTAATGCAAGACTACATATCAGATTGGAGGAGGGAGCATGGAGGAAGTAAATGTGTTCAGATCTGTCAGCAGATGGGTCTATGAAAAACAAGGTGAACCACAGAATTGACGAGGGGAAGAAGGCGAGTGGTGCACTGAAGCATTTGTGAAGACAGAAAAACATCCATGGAGGCAGAAAGAGGAATGTATGAGAGTATACTGGTACCAATGCTCTTATATGGGTGTGAAGCAAGGGTTGTGTATGTTGCAACTAAGAGGAGATTGGAAGAAGTCTGAGGGCAATGTGGTGTGAATATTATGCAGAGAATTTGCAGCTTGGAGATTAGGGGGTGCAGGGCTAAAGGGGGTTGAGGTGGTTCAGCCCATTTAGAGAAGAGGGAAATTAAAAATAGGATGACTTGGAGGGCACTTTAAATTCGTAGTGGAAAAAAAGGAAAGATAGGGGTCTCCTAGGAAAGGTTGGAGGGAGGGGGAAAAGGTTTTTGTTTTGGGGAGGGGCTTAGACACCCAAGAAAGCATTTTGGTGAGCAGTTAGAACTAATGAGTGAGCCAAGTGGTTTTTAAAGACTTGATGTGCTGTTAGTTTTGTGAAAAGGTTTCCTTTTTATAAAGAATTCGGGGAAAAGGGTTTAAACCCAAAAACTTTGAGTCCGGGAAGGTGGGAGGCAGTGCTTACACTCTGAAGGAGCGGTGTGGTTTTTGCAGGTTTGAACTGTGGTACGGGCCACCCCCTTCTGGCAGGAGGGGGTGTTGGGGGGGGTGATGGTAAACATATTTTTCTTTTTCTGGGTCACTTGCCTCAGTGGGAGAGGGCCCAATGTGTTTAAAAAAAAAATTATGTTTTTCCCTTTTATTGTGTTCCCCTCCCCTTGGTTTTTCAAAATTTTTGTAACCCAAAAATTACAATTCAAATATCTCCCTTTAAAATTCCATATCCCCAACCCTTCTTCAGGGGTGAGCACTGTACATCCTACCCCAGAAATCAAGTACAGTTTAAAAAAATTTCCTTTTAAAACCCCTTTTTTTTATAAATTTTAACTTTTCTTTAAAAATCAATGTTTTCAGACAATTTTAAAACTAGTGTTTTTTATTGCAGGGGAAATGTGGGGAAGGGGGAACAAAATTTATGACGGATTAAGGGGGAAAAAGGGTTAGCTAACTAGATTGTTTTGAAAGTTTTGCAAAAATTTGGGAAAAAAATGTCTAGTACAGACTGTATGTTAGGGGTTTGGGAGAGAGCATGCATAGTTCCCTTTTTTTAAAGGCAAAGGGGACAAAAGAGAGTGCAAAAAAATTTTAGGGGGTAAAATCTGCAGAGGGTTTCCTGGTAAAGTGTATGGTAGAGTTTTTATTGAAAAAAAATTAAGAGTTAAAATTTGGGGAATTTGGATAGCAGAGAACAAGGAGGTTTAGGAAAGGTAGGGGATGTATGGACCAAGGGGGTTTACAGTTTAAACATATAAAGGGAAAAAGTATTTTAGATAAGGCCCCAAAAAGGTCTTTGGGGGCATTTATGGATTTTGGGAAAAAAGGGATATGACAGGGGGGGGGATGGGGGGGGGAAAAGTGGAAGGTGTTTTGGTGTTTGGAGGTAGGTTACTGAAAAAACAGTGAAGAGGGTTTTTTCGGGGGGATAGTGAGGCCCCCAAGTTAGGTATGTAGGAAAGAGGGAAAAATTTTTTCCCGTAAAAGTAGGGCCTTTGACAAAAGGGTGTGTGATGTCCCCCGTGGTTGTTTTTAAAATTTTTTTATAGATGGGGTTTTTAAGAGAAGTAAAAGGAGGGTTTTGGGAAGGGCGTGGAGTTAAAAGATAAAGAATCACACATAAAATGGGGGGGGTTGTTTACAGTTCTCTTTACTGATGACACCGTGCCTTTAGGAGATTCTGAAGGAAGTTGCAGAGATTGGTGGATGAATTTGGGAGGGTGTGGGAAAAAAAAGAAAAATTTTAAAAATGGAAAAACAGGAAAAAAAGTAAGGTAATTTAGGATAACAAAAAGATTAGGTGATGAAAGGGGTTTTGGGTATTTAGATTTGAAAGGGAGAGGGATGGAGGAGGTGAATGTATTCAGATATTTGGGGGGTGGAGTGGGCAAACGGATGGGTCTATGAAAGATGAGGTGAATCATAGAATTGATGAGGGGAAAAGGGTGAGCGGTTTGCACTTAGGAGTCTGTGGAGACAAAGAACTTTGTCCTTGGAGGCAAAGAGGGGAATGTATGAGGTATAGTTTTACCAACGCTCTTTATGGGTGTGAAGCATGGGTGATGAATGTTGCAGCGAGGAGAAGGCTGGAGGCAGTGGAGATGCCATGTCTGAGGGCAATGTGTGGTGTGAATATAATGCAGAGAATTCGTAGTTTGGAAGTTAGGAGGAGGTGCGGGATTACCAAAAACTGTTGTCCAGAGGGCTGAGGAAGGTTGTTGAGGTGGTTCGGACATGTAGAGAGAATGGAGTGAAACAGAGTGACTTCAAGAGTGTATCAGCCTGTAGTGGAAGGAAGGCGGGGTAGGGGTCGGCTAGGAAAGGTTGAGGAGGGGGGTAAAGGAGGTTTTGTGTGCGAGGGGCTTGGACTTCCAGCAGGCATGCTGTGAGCATGTTTGATAGGAGTGAATGGAGACAAATGGTTTTTAATACTTGACGTGCTGTTGGAGTGTGAGCAAGGTAACATTTATGAAGGGGTTCAGGGAAACTGGCAGGCCAGACTTGAGTCCTGGAGATGGGAAGTACAGTGCCTGCACTCTGAAGGAGGGGTCTTAATGTTGCAGTTTAAAAACTGTAGTGAAAAGCACCCTTCTGGCAAGACAGTGATGGAGTGAATGATGGTGAAAGTTTTTCTTTTTCGGGCCACCCTGCCTTGGTGGGAATCGGCCAGTGTGATAATAATAATAATAAGTTTGATAGTCAGATACTGATGTTCTGGGAAGAAAGGGCCTCATTTTCATAAAGAGGAAAGAAAAAATTTCAAGGTTACCATTATAATAAAGCAGCAATATCAGACAAGTATAAAGTTATGCACATTGTATAAAATGTAGTTAACTTACATGAGTAGTAAGATATGGAACAGCAGTGGGTATTGCAAGGAAGGTCTGCACAGCAAGAGGGCAGTGAGCTAACCAAGTAGAAAGAAGCATAAGTATGCCAAAGCGAGTAAGCACTTTTGATCGGGCCTGAAGAATGGAAGTACACTGCTGCAGCAGTGACACAGCTGCACTCCCCACACTTGTGGCTAACTGCACTCGCAACATGTTTTCCTGAAATGAAAATTCAGCAATGAACAAGTTTGAAATACAATTCAATAACTTTCTCAGGGAGGCTGAAAGTGACAGTATGAATTCAATATTCTGAGTGCCGTATTTAAAACTAAGTACAGAAGCTTCCTGTAATGAATGCCATATTGACAACTAATAATAATCAAAGGCCATTATTAAAAATAACTCCTACTCTCTCAAAAAATATAAATCTGCATTTAAGCACATTCGCTTAGCAGAATGTCAATGCACTTACAAAAATATTTAACTGAAAAATCTAAAGCATAACTATCATAATATAATGCAGAGTGGAAGAACTGCCAATATGGTTTGGTAATGTAGAAAGAGTAATAAGAGGAGAGGCTGATACAGCAGTAAATGAGAGAGATGTTTGAAAAACATTATAGAGGAGACTGCAGTAGGCCTACTTCCCACATCAGGCAGGTCCTCCACCCCAG